ACTTATGACGGCTAATGAACCAGAAGTGGTCAGCTAAGTCTCCCTTGTCTTTGCCGATACTGTTAATCTGCCCACAGTGCTAGCCGCTGTGCGACCACTAGCGGGGCTCGAGTGTGAGTTCCTAGGCAGAAAGACACGAGCGAGTCCCGTAACCGATCGGCGAGGTTTCAATCAGTAAACTTAAATCTTTCATGTGACTGTTTCAGCAGCTGAACGGTATCCCAAGGCTGAAGAAATTCACTGTACAGGTTACTAATGGCACAACGGGATCATCGTTTTCTTCGTGCTCTGGACATATGGATTGACTACTGAAATGCTCTTTATTAGCTCACAGTTCCTAGTATTTTTAAGTGTTGTCGTTGAGCAGGATTCACGACAAGAAGCCCTGTTTTTGTTGGAATGGAGGATTCCATTGATAGAGCATAGGCAGTGGTGTGAACAGGAAACTCACTAAATGGAGTCTGTTTTGCTTCTCAGGATAACAATATCCCCAAAACGACCGAGTCCAAAAATAAGACATACCGTGACTATGTCACATCTCCGTATCCTAATTTGTCTAACTTTATTGCCACTGCCCCTCCTTTATCAGGCAAATGGTTGGCCTTGGCAGTGAGCCTTTCGGCAGAGTTGACCACAAACCTTTTGCGTCGCCTAGACTACCTACTTTCGACAGGAGACACGAAGAAAGTAAAAATATTCCAATCCACTTAGAAATTCGGCTAAAAGCTGTCATAAAAGTTAAGTGGCTTTTGAATGTTTCCTTCAGTGCTAGTATGGTGCTTTGGTTTAAGGATAATCATAGTTTATTTTTAGCTTTGATAGACTGAATTATTAATTTGCAACTACTTGCTTATACCTCAGGGGTGCTGCGCGTATTCTCGTGCAAAGACAATATTTGTCCGTTCCCTGTAGTTCTTAAGGTTCAGGCTCTAAAGCTTGGCTTGAAATATGCGGGTTTCTCTTCAATTTTGTATGATGATAAAGGTAACCCCACCGGATGCATTTCCTCAAGGGTAATCTCAAATCCCTGGTCAGATGTCTGTTCAGATCGTTCAGCGTTAGCCAAACTGCAAAATAATCATGCGGATCTGAGTAGACCCGCTTTGGAATAAAATGCTCCTTTTCGAAGAAGCAAACGGCGTACACGTAGTTTTTTTCCCAAAACGAATACTTTTCACCACCTTAGGGAATTTATCTACCAATCTGCTCAGAGCGGTAAGCTCCCCTCAAAAAGGTTTTTCCTATGAAACTACCCCTTTCAAATATTCGCCAGAGGGATATGTGCAACCGAGCGCTAGGGATTACAGGAAAAGTCATTTTCAATAAAAATTACCAGACTAAATCTTGTTAGCGTTAGAAATCAGAAGAAAGAATATTCTAGCTATTCAGTTCACAAATGTCCATGTTAATATTTATTCCTGAATTATGATTTGGAGTGAATTGAAGTCAAATATCACCAGGGATGAAAATGTGGGTATTAAATAAAGTGTTTACTGAGGTTGAAGAAAAACCATTCCCGAAAGATATTGGGTAAACAGAAACGGTTTAGGCGTGCGAAGACCTAACCAAGCAGAATTACTGACGGAAATAACTTTTTAACTTTCCTAGTATTTTTCCTCAACGCAAAACCGTCGGTTATATTCAAGAAAAACAAAAAAATCTTTGAGAACATTATGCTCCATACCACCGTTTATTTTTTTACAAATAACTATAATATGAAAGGTTTACTCCTCAAAGCTCACTGTCAGCATTCTGTTGAGAACGAGTTACCACAAAATCAGGCCGCCTGACTTGGGTCTGATGGTCGGCTTCTGTAAATTCGCTCCTGCAGTTTTCATGAAGTAAAATCCATTACAGGCATTTATTTGGGGAAAGCCCTGCTGAAGCTGCCCATAATATTCGGGTGATGGGTAGTATGTGAGAAACTGTCAAAGTTTTTCTTAAAGTTAATTAGCCTGATAGTCCCCTATTGGATTCTAGCTTGACTGCTTAGGAAATCCTACTTGGATATTCAGCTTTCTATATCGGAATGGGAGGATACCAACTCAACCCAAGACACCTGGCGGGGCCCGTAATTCAGATGGTTAGAGCATCTACTGTACTCAAGCCTTCATATTCTTGTCATGGGCGATAATCATGCTTAGATTACCAGGTATTTTCCGTACTTCTGTAAAACATGTATCTTATTCGAATGTACTAAACCTCTTTTACAAGAAAAAGAACACAGAAACTTGATCTACTGAAAACAGCTGCGTCAATTGCCTGTTGGTTTATTCATGGGTTTGAATATTACTTTCTCAAAAACATTTTCCAACTAAAGAAACGTATTTGATTCGGACGACACTTTGTGGACAAAAAGAGACATTCGAGAGCCAAGAATTGTTGTTCTGTAAGTCGTGCGGCGAGCTGTAATGCCTAGCCATCATCAGACCTTCCGAGATTTTTGAGAAGAATTAATAGAAGGAGGCCACTGGCACACTCGATAGAAAGCCGAACTGTAAAGTATTCAGTTCGGTTTACTTATACTGTTCGGCATATTGATTAAAAAGTTACGGTCCATTGTTTTCAATGACACGCTCTCGACGAGAATTCAGACAGGGATAAGTCGTCCCCTCAATATACGTCCCAAAACTTGTTACCAAGGTAAAAGCCTTTGAATCGTGTCCTACGGGATTAGGCAGAAGAGCTTGTAGCTGATCTTTTAAAACACTGAACGGGCACGTTTTATATGAGAGCCTGAGGGTGATTAGAGGACATTGAAAAAACTCATTTCCATCAACTAAGATGTATCGGTGAGAGTTCATGGTACGGCCGTCTCCAGGGGACCTCAGTTAGTCGAATTTCTCCCTATCTAAACAACTCCATGATTATGTTACCCAATATGAGTTGTTTAAATAGTTCCCTTGGTGTATAGGTCTCTTTTCAGTCTTTTTCGCCCGATCAGCAACCTTTTCACCTCCATTTTAGTTCAGTAAAACAAATTAAAACGGATTTAATTTCTTATTGCGCAGTTATCACGCACCTATACGGTCCCTGGTGTGCCTTAACCCTTCATTTTCCTTCAACGACGAATTCCGTAAGACACGTGGGCGGGAGACGTTTGCCTTTGGGTGGCCATACGAGGAACTCTTACTTATGTATTAATCACTTATGTCGTCAAATCCTATGAAATTGGACGTCTAAAAGACATTGACAGCTGATTTTAGATTTTGATTGTTAACAGTTGCATCTGCTTTAAGAACCAACTTCCAATGATCGTTTTGGATTTGAGAAATAGAGTGTGCTTCCAAGACTGGAAAATATACCTTCACGCAAAATTGTTGGAATTACGAGAGTACTAACAGTCGTTTAGTCGGGTCGGCTTTTGAAGCAATTCAAAATGAGTGTGCTCACATAAAGTTTGAAGAAGAAATGGACGTACCAGCATATCATTGCACTGAAAATGTGACACTTTATGGTCACGGTAGACAGTTGGACCACTTAAAAGAGGCCTAACGTTTGAGTAATTCACAACAGATCAAGAAAAACAACAACATTTGAATCGGTAGTAGTTATGCATCTTTTTCAATAGTTATGCTATGTGTCTTACTTAAACCCACCTCTATGTAACAGCTTTACTTAGTAGGGCGTGTATGTGTTAAGCCACCCGCGGCGGTGAATGTGTTCTGCTTTCGAAAGTTTCCATATTTTTCAGTCTGTCATAAGAACAAGCTGGGACTTACAATATGAACTTAAGACACGCAGAAGAAAAACATAGTTTACTTACCAATATCTTTGAGATATCTCAGGTTGTCGGACATTTGCGAAATTCCATGAGCTGAAAGTAGTGGCCAAGGCTGCACTCCGCTCAAAGCTATCCCACCGGGCTTTCCAGATGTCGAGTTTGGTAGGTTTTCTTCGGTCCACCATTTGCATTTCACGGAAGGGCAGATCATCTGAAAGTTGGCGTCAAAATGACTGCTAGTGCCCGTCCAGACTAATTGAAGATAGCGGCCTACTACCTGATGTCGTAGAGATACTTCACTGTAGTCACTCCACTGAATTAATCTTTTTTTGCCAGTGGTCATTCCAACCGATTCGTCGGCAAATTCCAAATGACAGCCGGCTTGAATGGCTGAGCGAGGCGTTCGTGTTCTTGCAGTCTTCTGAGTGTCAGTGGTACTGCCTGGTGGAGGCGGTGACATGTACGAGGAGATAAAGTTGTCCATTGACTCCGTTTTTGAAAGGGGCATACACTTTCCACTGACTGCGGAAGCAGAACCAGGCGCAGATGGCCCTTCAAAGTGACACCGTTTGGCGTGTACGGCTTCATTAGCCACGCCGCTTGGCTTTCCGACCGACGCCTCAGACACCGTCTCCAGAGGCTCTGAGGTGGATTTCTTTCGAGTTTTGGCAAGAATACCTCGCACACTGGAGCCGCCACCCTTTTCAGTAGCTGCAGCAGCTGGCGTCAATCGCTGCAACCGGCGCAGATTTCGCAGAAGTTCCGTGGACTGAGAAGTGACATCCAGAAAGTTTGAACAGAATTCGTATTCGCATCGCACACTTTCCAGGGCTATAATCGAGCAGGCACTTTCCTCACAGCGCCTGCCAATCAGCGGAGCCTGCAGAATCAGATAGGACAGATAGTGTGCCAGTACTTGGGAGCGATATTTAGCCAGGAGGTAGATAATATGACCTACGGACGCCGGTCGTAGTTTATCAACAGGATCAGCCAGCAGGCCAGCCCTAGAAAGGGAGCTGTAAAGGGCACTGCTGTTCCAGCGGGTGGCATCGTCCAGACTGGAACGGCAAAGGAGAAGATGTCGGATTTCTTGTTGCCTCTGCAGATCCATTTCCTCCTGAACTATCTCGTCAAGCATGCTGAGTTCCTCCATGCCACGCGTGATCTCCCAGAGATCATTGTGTGTGTATCGGGACAGTTCAGACTGAGTTAGCAGAAAGAGACCGGCATTCACCAGGTGACTGGCAGCTATCAAGACGGACACCAACAAAAGGGACTGAAAATGCTGTTGGAAGGGGTCTCTGATAAAGGCATCTAGGTCTACCAGCGATCCAAGCTCCTTGTGTAACAAGGCCTGAGTTCGAGAGACCAGAGAAAGGCCTTGCCTAAGGCCTTCACAGATGTTGCGAACACAGCTTATTTTGGTCTTTTCGGATGTGAGTGATGAATATACAGGGGCTGAGTTGGGCATGCTCAAGAAGGCGCTGCTGCCATTAAGTGTTTGTCCACCGACGGCCGCCGTATAATAGACTTTCTCATATTCCTGTTCGGTGACTTTGTCCACCGCGTTGGAGAGCTCAACAAAGTTGGAGAAGACAGTCTCAACGCGCACATTTTTTGCATGCAACCAAAGGACACGCTTGGCGGCGTGGATGAAAGTTTGGAGTTTTCGACATCGAAAGCCATGGGAATGGCATACTGAAATCCTTGAAGCTCCTGTCGACCCGCTGTCCACACTCTAACAGAAAAATCCAAAGGAATTTTAAAAATTGTCACTTACCGACAAAACAATAAGCATCAAACAAGAATATATAATATTCGTCATTACATAGCAATCAATTTTTTTCCAAATTGTTGCACATTAAGAATGCGTTGGCCTTTATTTAAGAACATCAATGCTTTCCTAGTGCAAATAATCTAAAAAAGACTCTGAAACAAAATGTTTATTTGCTAATTGATGTCAAGGTAAAACTGCTAAAATTATTTCTTCGTTTTAAACAAACACTTGGGCTTTTCTAGCACAGTTTTCACCAATGGTGTTTTCTGTAAACAGAATATGGTAAGACGGGTGTTATTTGATTTATTCATTACTTAATAAAAACTTTCA